TCAAAAAAAAAAAAAAAAAAAAAAAAAAGACTCTTTAGAGATAGGGATCTGGCAATTTTGCAGAGCTTTGTTTCAAATATATGTAAACACAGCACACAAGTGCCCTGCCTTGGTACTGTGAACCCCAACAGCTACAGAAGGCAGAAGCAGCTCCAAGTGGAGCGAGCAAAGGGCATCTGCTGTTTTTACCATTCACCAAACCCAGATGGTTTGATCTGCCCTCTTCCCACCCACCCCTGTCTTCCTACCCAAATACATCATGTTTTAGGAGGGTGAGTGCTCATTGCTGAGATTGGGGGGGGCAGCTTCTCAGACATGTATGTGGGTCAAAGGTCAAGCTGTTCAGTTTACTTTACACACACTGTATCTTGATAAAGCCACTATCAATAATCAGATAAAATATGAACCCTGATAGGATTCCAGTCTGAAAGAATCTATATGAAAATCATCTGTGGGTTGGGAATGGTGGCTCACACCTGTACTCCTAGAATTATGGGAGGCCAAGGCAGGTAGACTATCTTGAGCTCACAGGTTTGAAACCAGCCTGAGCAAGACCAAGACCTCGTCTCTAAAAATAGCCGGGCATTGTGGTGGGCACCTATAGTCCCAGCTACTCGGGAGGCTGAGGCAAGAGAATTGCTTGAGCACAAGAGTGTGAGGTTACTGTGAGCAACAAAGTGAGACTCTGCCTCAAAAAAAAAAAAAAAAAGAGAGAAAAAGAAAGAAAATCATCTGTGAAACAATTCCAGAAATGGGGAACAAATTGGACCTAAGATAACCCCAGGAGGAACAGTAGCAATGTCTTGATAGCTGATGGTGGCTGTGGGAAGATGTGCTCCAGTCCTTAGGAGGAGGACATGTAGAAGAGATGAGACATAAACACATATAGATAAATTTGACAAAATAGTAACAATTAATGAATATAGGCGGTATATTTAGGTGTTTGTTGTACTAGTTTTCCTATTTTTCTGTACTTGAAAAGATTTCTCATAAAAACTGAAAAAATGGGTGGCGCCTGTGGCTCATTGAGTAGGGTGCCGGCCCCATATACTGAGGGTGGTGAGTTCAGCCCCCGGCTGAACTGCAATAAAAAAAAATAGCTGGGTGTTGTGACAGGCACCTGTAGTCCCAGCTACTGGGGAGGCTAAGGCAAGAAAATCGCCTAAGTCCAGGAGTTGGAGGTTGCTGTGAGCTGTGTGAAGCCACAGCACTCTACTGAGGGCAATAAAGTTAGACTCTGGCTCTACCAAAAAAACAAAAAAACCCTGAAACAATAAACTGTTTTAAGGGTCTGAGGCCAGTCTACTGGTAGCAACTGGACCTCTGCTACAATGCAGATCCGCAGACCCAGCCCTGCTCACCACTTGGGAGAGGCCAGTGTTCCATACCCTGACAATCTTGTGGGTCAAAGCTAGTCACAATTTTCTGTCAGAAAAGGAGCACCACCTATACCATCCCATACCACATGAGGTGATGGCCTGAGAATAACTGGGCTAGAGAAGGTAAGGTGTGGGTGGTGGCCAGACCCAGAAGTAAGGCCTATTCTGGTCAAGTCATGTGAGCACCAGAGAAACGGTTCACAGAGAATCCCTTGAGTCACCCCCACGGGCTCTAAAACAGAAGTGTAAAAGTGACTAGCACCAAGCTCCCAGACATGGCTGCCTTGCCCTGAGCGGGCTGGAGCTGCAGTAGCTAAGCAACAGGGAAGGCAGGGGCAGATGGAGGCTGGGAGATAAAATGAAAGCTTCCCAGTGATAAATGGCATAAGTTGTAAACTAGTGGCTTGGCGCCTATAGCTCAACCGGCTAAGGCGCCAGCCACGTACACCTAAGGTGGCGGGTTCGAATCCCCAGCCCAGACCTGCCAAACAACAATGACGGCTGCAACCAAAAAATAGGCGGGCGTTGTGGCGGGTGCCTGTAGTCCCAGCTACTTGGGAGGCAGAGGCACGAGACTCACTTGACCCCAGGAGTTGGAGGTTGCTGTGAGCTGTAATGCCACGGCATTCTACCCAGGGGGACAGCTTGAGGCTCTGTCTCAAAAAAAAAAAAAAAAAAAAAAGTTGTAAACTAGTAAGAATTCTCTTTCTGGTCAGGTGCAGTGGCTCATGCCTGTAATCCTAGCACTCTGAGAGGCCAAGGCAGGTGGACTGCCTGAGCTTGGGAGTTTGAGAACAGCCTGAGCAAGAGCTAGACCCCATCTCTAAAAAAAAAATAGTTGAGCATTGTGGTAGATGCCTGTAGTCCCAGCTACTTGGGAGGCTGAGGCAAAAGCATCACTTAAGCCCAAGAGTTTGACATTGCTGTGAGCTGTGACGTCACAGCACTCTATCAAGGGTGACAAAGTGAGACTCTGTTTCCAAAAAAAAAAGAATTCTCTTTCTGCAAGATAAAACACACACAGCATTGCACAAATCTGAGAGATTCTCAACTGCTCAGGGTCAACCTAGAAGGTCTCTGTGGTTCTCTATTTTAAGAAGCATGTATTTCCCTTAAATTCTGACTGACAAAGTTGCCCAGTCCCAGCCCCAGCCCCCTTACCCATCCTTCCTTCGGCCGTGTTCTCTCTGGTTGCATTCCTCGGGGAGTGCATGGCTTTGGATCAATCTGCAGGAAGTTTCAAACCAGCCAGTTGTGAATACAAGACTATTTTCTCTAGGAAAGAAAGTATTAGCAACAGCAGTGGCCCCACAGCACATACCAGCCCACAGGCTCATTCGCCCTGTACTCTGCCTCCAACCAACATACAGTCTAAACACCATGGCTAAATCCTTTTAAATCAACCCCACATTTTTTATAATATTCTCTGCTACAAACATCAAAGTGCCAGGCAGAGCTAGGCTGAAGGAATGACAAGAAAAGAAGAAACAGGGCAAGCGCCTTTAGTAAGGACACTTACGTTTCGGCCGTCCAGTGTGTGTGGTCTGCTGGCCAGCACTGTCCCCACACAGTTTGGGTCTTTAAATTTGACAAACCCAAAACCTCGAGACTGGTTGGTTGTTTTATCTTTCATGATAACACAGTCTACAACTTCTCCATATTGAGAAAAGTAGCTGCGCAGAGTCTCTGCTCAGAGATTGGGAACAAAACACAAACACACCACCGGAGTATTAGGCACAAGACTCACTGGTAGGGTGCAAACAAACACACACACGCACACACCTATGTCTGCCAGAAAAGGTCTGCAACTAGCAACACTTAAACAGGCTCAACAGTTAATTGTTTGGGGGGTGGGAGCAAGTTGAGGTGGAAGTATGGAGGTACTCTGGGACAAGGGCAATTCTATGCCTCAGGTACATCAGAGAGGCTAGCTGCTGGTGACCACAGCACTGGTTAACAGTTCTGTGGGCATTCAGGAAAGCAAAGTTTAAGGAGATGCAAACATGACAACTCTGAATGCTGACTGGTAGGTAGCTCAGCACCTGTAGCTCAGTGGATAGGGTGCGGGCTACATACACAGGGGCTGACCGGTTCGAGTCCGCCCCAAGCCGGCTAAACAATAACAACTACAAAACAAATAATAACAAATAAAATAAAAAAGTGAATGCTGACTGGTAACCTCAGAACGCTAACTTCATCATAAACTTTTTCCTGCCCGTTCTGAACTCAATGACTGTCCCAGAAGGACCCCAGCCCTCTGCATTCCACAGCCTCTACAACTGTGGATCTCAACCTTCCTAATGTCTCCTCATGCCCCAACCCTTTAATACAGTTCCTCATGTTGTGTTGACTCCAACCATAAAATTATTTTCGTTGCTACTTCATAACTATAATTTTGCTACTGTTATGAATCATGATGTAAATATCTGATATGCAGGATGTATTTTCATTGTTACAAAGGGGTCGCGACCCACAGGTTGAGAACCACTGCTCTAGAAATTTCTGCCTCTAGAACCTTCCTCACCTTGAGCTAAGAACCTATAGTCTGAAGTCTTCCCTGCAACAATGATGGAACTATCAAGACCAAATTAACATCTTCAAAGTAAACACACACGCTTTGCCTCAGCCAACTTCCAATCAAATGTCCCCTGCCCAGAAATCAATACAATATCAGGACTTTACAAAACCCCAATGGCAGCAAGAAGCTGACACTTCCCAAAGGCCAAGGACCACACAGCCTGTAGCACCCACGCCTGATCCCACCTACCTTGGGTTGTACTCCAATCAAGACCACCTACGAAGAGCTTCCTGCAATTCAACAAAAAAACACTCAGGATTAAGAGGCTCTGCCTCAGAAACACCCCCATCTGACCCATCCCAGGGTCTTAATTCAGAATATGGAAGAACACAAACATGCTCAATTACGTTGTCTCCAATAGCAAGGATGTCTGCAGACATGAAAAGTGACATCAAGCCCGACAAATAACCCAGAGAGACAACTCACCCAACCACAAGGGCCTCAGGAAAGGAGTTCCTGTGACACAAGCCAGCCATGACTACACAGGCCTGTGCAGATTCCAAGAGCAATTCAAGAAGGACATGGTTTCCTACTGCCCTTTTTTCTTTTTTTGAAACACAGTCTTACTTTGTTGCCCCTGGTAGAATGCCATGGCATCATAGCTCACAGCAACCTCAAACTCTTGGGCACAGTGATTTTCTTGCTTCAGCCTCCCAAATAGCTGGGACTATAGGTGCCCACCACAACACCCAGCCATTTTTAGAGATGGGGTCTTACTCTGGCTCAGACTGGTCTGGAACCTGTGAGCTCAGGCAATCCACCCACCTCAGTCTCCCAGAGTGCTAGGATTACAGGCATGAGCCACTGCACCTGGCCCTCCTGCTTTTGCAAATATTTTATCATCGGCAAAAGGAATTTAGTTCAGTTTTGAGGCCAGGCGCAATGGCTCACACCTGTAATGCTAGAACTCTGGGAGACTGAGGGACGTGGACTGCCTGAGTTTAGGAGTTCAAGACCAACCTGAGCAAGAGTAAGACTTCATCTCTACTAAAAACAGAAAAATTAGCTAGGCATTGTGGCAGGAACCTATAGTCCCAGCTACTCAGGAGACTGAGGCAAGAAGATCGCTCGAACCCATGAGTTTGAGGTTGTTGTGAGCTCTGACACCATGGCAAGACTCAATCTCAAAAAAAAAAAAAAAAAGAAAAAAAAGTCCAGTTTTGAGATTATATGCAATAAACTAGAGGAAAAACAGACACCTAAGACACCCACACCATACAGCCTCTGAATTACAACAAGGGAGGGGTCTACCCAAAGTCTTAACCGTGAACCTTATATTCATGAAGAGGGTCCCACATATAATGGGAAAGGTCTCTGAAGTTCTAGAAGCAAAGCAGAAGCCCTACATCCATATTCCCACCCCAGGGCCGCCTGGGCTGTCTTTTCAGAGGCCCATGAACCCCACCATTGACCCACACACAAAGCCACACAAACTGGCTGGATTTGCGTGAATGGAAGCAACTGAGATGGGTACCAGACAGCCCCCATGGGGCTCATTCAATCATAGGAGCCTCAAGTGTTACTAAGCATTCCCCAAACCCCAGGAGGTAGACATGATGGATCAGGAGGTGGGGTGGGATATCTACCAAAGGAACAGGTCTCCTATCTGCCTGCTGACCCTAGGAAGGGGGACTGAGAGATCAAGTCCCCCAGCTGAGCATGACCTGTGCTAACCCCATGATTGCCCTTGGAACTGACTCAGACGCTACCTAGTGGGTCTTCTGAGACCAGAAAATCCTCCAGGCTCAAGTCACCACCTGAAACACAGAACCCTGCAGGCTTCCCTGACACCAGACCAACATATACCCTTGTCCCTGACAGCCACACACACTTAGCTTTGAGAGAAAAAAAAAAAAACAGACCCTCCCAGGTTCAAAGTGTTACTGCCCCATCAGCAATCAAGGGAGCTATGCACAAGGACACAGCTGACCCTCTCTCCATTTCCTGCCAGCTTGTCCAGGAGAGACTTCTGTGAGGCAGCTGGCACACCCATTCCTTCCACAAACTCCTGCCTTAATGAGTCAACCCTTGCAAAGACAGCTTACAACAATAAAGCATCCGAGCTTGTTCCTATGCTTTCTTTCTCCATAAGGAAGGGTAATTTAAACTTAGTGTATGAAAAGTAATTTTCCCACAACCAAAAAGGTACCCACTATCTTCAAAATGTCACCAAGCCAGCAACCTGACTCCCCAGGTCTAGACTGGGGAAGATGAGAACTCAGGCTAGTTAATAAGGCGTGTCAGCTGCCCTGTGTTTCCTGTGCTTTGTGTCCCTTACAGGGGAGTTCTGTAAAGACAAGTTTCAAGAGAAACATGCTGATCAAGCAGCATGAGGAGGCTTAGATTTAGATATCATTAACTTAATAGTCCTGCGTCTCCCGTGCACCCTTCATAATTAGGCCAGGAAACATGGAGGTCAGGCCCAGCAATCCTGGAGGAGGGAGGCCTCTCTGGGCCCCTCTCCCCACAGGCTGCACTGGGCAGGCACTGATGATTCCACCCCACACCATCCTTTCCCTGGCCAGCATCCCAGGCACAGGCTTGGCACCCAGGAGAGTGCAAGGTAACCTCCACCCAATGAATGAAGGGCCCTCAAGCTCCTTAACTGCCCAGACACTGCATATTTGCACAGTCCTTGGGAAGGAGAATTCAAGCATTCTCAAGTAAGTAAATAAAACCTCCACTTAGGGCTGTACCAACCCAAACAATAAGAAAATGAGCCAGTTATCACTGCTCCAAGCAACCCCATCCCTGCCGCCTTGTGAAAGGAAAGGAACCTGTCAGACCAGTCCAGATTCTAGCCCTTATTTCAATTTCAAAAAGTAGGTATTAAGGGGAGAAAGACTAGGTATACCATTATTGGCACAAGTGACAGAGGGTCTGTGGGTTAAGTAATATAGTGTTAACGCTGCACTTCTCAATTTCTATCACTGTGCTGTGTCCATTCAAAAGAATGTCTGTGTCCTTAAGAAATAGTACACATCTCAGTGCCCCATCCAGGTCACTGGGTCTCCAGCTCACTCACAAATATTTCAATAAAAATAGTAGGCTTGGAGCCTGTGGCTCAAGTGGCTAAGGCACTAGCCACATACACCTAATGTGGTGGGTTCGAATCCAGCCCGGGCCCGCCAAACAACAATGATGGCTGCAAGCAAAAAACAGCCCAGTGTTGTGGCGGGCGCCTGTGGTCCCAGCTACTTGGGAGGCTGAGGCAGGAGACTTGCTTGAGCCTAGGAGTTGGAGGTTGCTGTGAGCTATGATGCCACAGCACTCTACCCAGGGGGA